TCCACATGAACAAGGAGAGATCACCAAGATGTTTTATTAAAAGGAAAAAAAGTCATACTTCCATCGTGATGCCAACAATTAAACACACACACACCAATAAAACTCTTTCTCCATGAGCACACGAGCAGCCGTGAAGGCACAGGGAAAGGTCCAGAATGTCACACAAGCACATTATCCAGAAGATTAAAGGGACCGTATGGGCCTGGCCCCCAGCAAGCTCTTTAAACATGGGCCACTATTAATTATAATTCGGAGAAAGATTTCCTTATGTTCTCTGTTTTTAAGTTGAACTAGGAACTAGGGTGAGTGGGACATCTTACCTTCCTCTTTTTTAAAAAGCTAAATTTAAACCCATTCCTTGTTGTTTATATGTCATCCTTGAGGACCATTCTTCTTTTGCGGTCACTGACCTGCAGGGGAATAGGGTCAGGAACAAAGGGGAGGAGACAGGCTCCCCAGGGATTTGCTCTGGATATTTGAACAGCATGTTGTTCGTGCTATTTCCCACGTCAGCATATGAATAATGGCAACAAGGCCCCATACATTACACGTCCAATCCTCTCAGCACCCTGGGAGGTGGGAGAAAACTGCCACCCAGAGAAATTCAATCGCTTGCTGAAGGTCACACAGTAAGGAAGCAGAGGGGCACTGCAACCAACCAGCCTATCTCAGTACACACACACACACACACACACACACACACACACACACATGCATGCACACAAACACACACGCACGCATGCATGCGCACACACACACTCATTCTCCTATGGATGGTTTACAGTTGTCATTTCCTGGTTACTGACTCTGAGGCACAATTATAATTAGCACATGATCTGTCACAAGCTAAAAAATACTTAATGGCCCCAGGGAAAGATGGGGCCTAAGTCACTACTGGTTTACCTGCTGGTATAACTAATAATCTACCAATAATTGGCACTACCAATAAATGGCACTGACCAACTCAATCAGGACTTAAAATCTACAGGCCAAATGTGCTCCTGATTCAGTAACAATGGGCCAGGCTTTGCACACCTGCCGAAAATCCATCCTCATCTGATTCCCAGGACAGCTCTGATCTGTCTTGTCCAGGGAGGGGAGCATGAGGACCTGGTGACCACAGGCACCATCCAGGTAGAAGAGAAGAGCTAGCTGTGGGACTGAGGACATGTCCCTGAATGCCACGCACCTCAATGGAAGTGCTGACTGTAGGTCAGACGGAGGCTTGGGCTGTGGAGGACATGCAGAAATTTCGCTGGCCAGAGACCAGGTTCTGGCAGAAGCTGGAGAAGTGTTGGGGACATAGCGGCCACCTACTGACCGCAGCCAGTGGGGGTGACTTGGCTCCCACCTGCTCACCTCCTAGACCACCTCCCCTTCCCCTCTCATTCTCCGAGTCTGAAAGGTCCAGATGCCACTCCTCACAGGCCCCTCGCAACAGGAAAGAGAATCTTGTTCCCTCTAGATTCCTCCAGCAGGTACTCTCCGCACATTTGGTCATTCATCACATGGTGTTCTCCCTGGCTATCTTTGGTTCATTCATTCATTCAACAAATATTTGCTAAACAACTTCTCTGTGCCAAGCACTGATCTGGTAGTTGGGTCCCTGCAGTGGGTAAGATCTCTGCCTTCATAGAGCTCACAGGCCAGGGGTGGGGTGGGGTGGGGGGGGGCAGAGAGAGAAGAAAGTAAATAATATAAAGTTATAGATTGGGTAAGCGCTAGGAAGGAAACCAATAGGGGGCTAAGAAACAGACCGTGGGGCAGGGGAGCCCTGTGAAAGGCCTCTTGGAGGAGGTGACATTGAACTCGTACTAAAATTCTAAATGTCTCCTATTTGCACTCTGCAGCTCCCAACAGGTGTGAGGGCGGAGGTAGTATAACCCTCCGGCTCATGATGAGGGGTGCTCTTCTACTCCAGCCAATGCTCCAGGACAGCGACATGACACGAGTGCCCGCCTTGGTGAGTAAGGGCCCCATCAGACATGAGCCTGCGTGATCTGGCAGCGGTGGCGGCCACAAGGCCCAAAGCCAGCAGGCCCAGAAAGCATCTGACCCCACAGAGCTGTCTCTGGCTCAGAGCCACCACAGAGCCCAGACCCGAGGAGGCTGATGACACAGTAGTGCTAGATGTCTGAGTAAACCGCCAGCTTACAGGCACTTGGACTACTGCTGGGAAGCCTGGACGTTGGTCTGATCTGTCTGAAGGGCAACTTGGCAGTATCTGCCCACATGTGCAATGCAAATGCCCTCTAACCCAGTAAATCCCACCACCTGGAATCTGCCCTAGGAAAATGCTGGCATGTGTACACAAGAGTATGTGGAGGGATACGCGAGGCTCCTCCCTTTATAATAAAGAGCAAAACAACCAGAAGCAACCTCAGTGTCCATCTGACTGCCTAGTCATATCCATCAGGGATGGTACATCCTGACCACGGGATGTCGGAGCCATTACTGATGAGATCATTACGTGAAAAACATCAGTGTAGGATTGCATTTCTTTATATCATCAAAAAAGCTCTTTCTGTGTGCACATGGACATAGAGCTGTCTGTAAACACACCGAGCACGTCTGCAGACACACTCCAAACGGACCCCAATGATCTCACCTGCACTGGGTGGGAAGGGCTGGGGACCGGCGGATCTTTGCTCCTATTCCATATGCTTCTATTTTGACGTCTGTCCCCCAGCAATAATGAATTCATGTATTACTTGTATGATTGAAAATACATTTTAAAAAGAGGTTTTTACAAAAAGTTAAAAGACAATGCCAATGGTTGAGCCCGGTGTTTCTCTACAGCTCAGGCGTTAACATATTGCATCTAACCTGGCCTTGGTTCCTACCACAACCCCATCCTCCTTTCCCAACTATTCAGTGTCTCCTGCCTTCGATGACACCTGGCCACTTGCAAACATCTCCCATGCCATTTACAGAGACTCGGCGCGTAGAGACAGCCAAAGGTAGCCACATAAAAACACCGTTATCTGGCAAATTCCATGGATGCTTCATAATCACTGCAGCTGTACTCCTGACCACACTTGACACTCATGACCTGACAACAGGCTGTGGGCTGTTTCAGGGGTGCTCACCAAACTCCCCAGAGTCCCAGGGCAGGCCCAGTGCCCTCACACGCCAGCATCACTTTCCAGGGACAAGGGGATTCAGCGAGACAGAAGAGCCTGTACAACCTTTCGAATTCCTTCAAGATACTGAGTTGAATTCTGCAGATTTCTGTTTGTGTGGGGCAACCTATGTTGCTGAGCATCCCATCAATAACCACTGTGGGACAGGCAGAATAGACTCTCCAGCCTGGTCCCACCCAGGCTCCAGGGCCCTCCATTTCTCTTCCTGCTGTTCTCAAATCAAGATAAATAGCTGGGGGCCGGCTGAGTGGCGTGTTGGTTAAGAGCTGGCTTGGGACGCCAGAGGGTCCCGGTTCGGATCCCACGTGTGAGGGCCAGTGACACTGCCCTCTACACCTAAGATGCTGAACAACAGCTCAACCTGGAGCTGGGCTGCTATGAGTCGCCGGCGATGACGTAGGGTGCAGCGGGCAGCCATGGGCTACCGTGAGTAGCCAGCAGCCAGCGTGAGCGGCCATCCAGAAGCCGGTGACTGATCTGCCTCGCCCAGGAAGAGCGCAATGATGGTGCCAACTTGGGCCAGTGAAGCAACGTCCTCCACAACTAGACTGAAGAACAAAAGGACAGCAACTTGTCTGTTCCCCTTCCCCCAAATGCCCAATAAAATTCCCATTCCCCGATTCCCCAATAAAAATCTTTTTCTTTTTTTTTTTTAAAGATAAATAGCTGGGCTGGACATTAATTATCCAGAAATGTCTATGCAGGAAATACCAGACCCATCACTCACTGCAAAAGCCCTAACTCCCTTCTTCTTTCCCAGCAGCTAACCTTGGAGGCAAGGATCTCCCTGGGGGTTTATTCGGTGCCATCATTAGTCGCTCCTGCAAGCCCTGCTTCACATCCAGCCCATTATGCACGGGAAATGCCTGGCTGTGCCAACGACAAGTGAAATGGTCAATGGTACAACTGATTCTTATAGGACCTTGACAATGAGGACAGAGCTGACCTGACAGAACGCAGCATAGTGGACAAGGTACCTTTGAAGAAGTGTGCTAGACCACCTGCAACAGAATCTCTGGGAGAGCTTGTTAAAAATACAAATTCCTGACCCTGTTTTCCACATCTACTGTGTCAACATCTGTGGAAGTGTGATCAGGGAACCTGCTTTTTTCTTTTTTAACAATCAAAGCCATGTAATGGTGACAGTCCCCACATAACCACAGGATTTAGGACAGATTAGCAAGGAATCTGCATTTTTAACAAGTCCCCCCCCATCCTGTTGCTGAGAACCACTGCTCTACAGCATCACGCGAGGGGCTTTCCCGGGGTCAGAGAAGGTCGGGGCTCCTTGCCGGTACTCCTCATTCGGTAACCCCCACAGCCTCTCCCACTACTCCCAGCCGTGCAGCGTGTGCTCCAGCTGGACCAAACCATTTCTCATCTTCCTGCCTTTGCTGCTGCTGCCCCCCAGTCTGGAAAGCGCCCCCCTTGCCTCTGCCCTCACATGGTGCACTCAGAAAGAGGGCGCTGTTACAGAAAGAGGGTGGGCTCAGAAACGGACCCTTCCCTGAATTTAGTTCTTGGCTCCTCCAATGACCTCAGGCAAGAGGCAACCTCTGCGAGTCTCTCGGTTCCTATTTGTTCAATAGGGGTAACACTATCTCACAGGCTTGCTGTGAGAATTCAATGAGATGATGGCTCAGCATGGTGCCCAACAGATGTTAGCCAGGTTCAGGCCCCCCACCCCACCCCGCTGTTCTTACTTCCCTATGTTCTCTACCAGACCACAAGCTACTTGATGGGAGGGATTGTCCCCTCATTCACACCACAATCCCTAGCTTGCAGAACCCCGAGCCTAGGTGGAATGTCTGAGGCTACAAAACCAATCCCTGTCCCCATGCTGCCCTTGACTCTTACCTGCCCAACGTTGAAGGTCAGTGTGATGGCATAAAAGAAATTGGAGTTGGCGCTTCCTGCGTAAATCCAGAGGTGCCACAGGACAGGGAAGAGCAGGGAGCAGACGATAATGATACAGGCAAGGACAAAGATGTTTCGCAAAACTGCAAAGACAGACAGTCACAGTTAGCCCCGTGCTGATTCCCTTTGGGACCTTTTCCTTGCTGTGATGCCCCATAGGACGGACAGTCCCAGGGAGAGCCTGGTGTAGCTCAAAGGCAGAACCCGCCCTCCAACCCCCAGCCCTACTCAGAGGCACCGGGGTGCCAAGAGGCAAACCTTAGACCCTCAAGTCAGTGTTTTCCCATGTCCAAAGCTGGCGGGAGGTCCTAGATGTGGACTCCGTACCTCCCACTGTGGGCTTGGCTGGCTCCAGTAAGCAATGCCATGAATGCATCTGGGCACTGCAAAGGGGGCATTTCAGCCAAGAAACTGCCCTCTAGCCCCCAATCTCAGAGTGTCCAAGAGTAACTCCTCCCGTCTCCCCAAGCAGGATGCTATCTGGCCACAGGGGATGACGGATGGGAACCACAGCATGAACGCATGGAGATTAGAGCCCCACAGTGAGTCTCTATGGTGCTACACAGAAACACGTTTTCCATTCTCCTGAATTCGTGTCTTAGGTCTCCTACCTTGCTTCTCAAATGTCCCTCACTTTTTCTTAGATGATTTAAAAATCTTTTTGACACTCTCCCTCTGTAAAATAATTCCCCCACCCCCATTGCCAGAGGGAATGTGGAATCCCACTAGGGAGAAAGCTCTCCCTGAATCAGCCCCAGGGAGGACCTTCTATACAGCGTGGTCCCCAGGCAGGTAGGTGAGTTCAGCTGGAAGGGAAGAAAGCATGATTATGGGGCAAAGACTTGGCCTCAGAGAGACCTTCGTTTTTAAAATTCCTGCTCTGCCAGCAAGTGTGTCCGAGTCTCAGCTTCCCTCAGCATCTCTAAAATAGGACTAAAATGACAACTTCATAGAATTCCATTAATTCAACAAGAACATGTGTGAAAACCCTGGCACAGATGGATTACTGTGTGTTTTCTATTGTTGCTATAATTACCACAAACTTAGTGGCTTAAACAATATAATTTATAATCTTACAGTTCTGGAGGCCAGAAATCCAAAATGGGTCTCAAAGGCTAAAAACCAAGGTATCTTCAGGGCTGCGTTCCCTCTAGAGCAGCGGTTCTCAACCTTTCACAGGGGTCGCCTAAGACCATCGGAAAACACATATTTTCGATGGTCTTAGGAACTGAGACACCGCTCCTCTATCTGTCTCCAGGCCCACATGCAGATACGCCCACATACAAGTACCCGGCGACCCCTGTGAAAGGGTCGTTGGACCCCCAAAGGGGTCGCGACCCACAGGTTGCGAACCGCTGCTCAAGAGGCTCCTGGGGGAAACCCGTGGACTTGCCTTTGCAGCATGTAGAGCTGCCTTGCGTTCTTGGCTTGTGACCCCCTTCCATCTTCACCCAGCAATGTCGGATTAAGTCCTTCTCACACTGCATTACTCTGAACTTCTCTTTTGCTTCCCTCTCTACTTTTTTAAAAAACAGACTTTTAGAGCAGTTCTAAAACTGCAAAACTGAGCGGAAGGTACAGAGATTTTCCATGTACCCCCCTGCTTCCACCTCTTCCACTTAAAGGGCCCTTGTGATTACACTGGGCTCACCTGGATATTCCAGGCTAATCTCCCCACCTGAAGGTCCTTTGGCCATAAGGTGATATATTCACAGGTTTGGGGGATTATGGCGTGCATATCATTGTGGGAGGTGAGAAGGCATTTTTCTGCCTGCTGCACTGCTTTTTTCCCCCTTTTAATTCAATGGGAGATATCTGACAGTAGGATTATATACTATTTTTATTTGTTTCTTTACATTTTATTGTATTTTTTTTTTAAGCTGAGCCATCCTGCCACCTGTTGGCAGCTCAGCGGCTGCTCAGCTTGGGCCGGGCATCAAACTGCTGTTGCTCAGAGCTCAAACTCTTGAGCGAGCTCTTAACCAACTGAGCCACTCAGCCGGCCTCTAAAGTAGTTTTTCTTTTTTTTCAATCTAGTTCCGGGGGAGAGGGTGCCCACCATCCCATGCGGGAGTCAAAGCGGCAACCTTGTTGTTAAGAGCACACACGCTAACCAACTGAGCCATCCGGCTGCCTTATTGTATTTTTAAATAAATGAATAAATATCATTTAACATAAATTAATAGAATACCCTTTTAAAAAAAAACTTAGCACTGGGGCTGGTTTCCAGCAGGCACTTCATGAACAGAAGTTCCCTTCCACTCTCTCATCATGACCTTCAGGAAATCCCTTCTCCCAAATCCGAATTTTGGGAGATTGAAGAGATGGGGAAACTCCTGAAACTTAAGGCCGCTGGCCTCAGTTGTACAAAGACATGGTTGAAATGTTATTCTGGGGGTTCATGCATTGGAAGGGAGACTGGATTACACACACGATTCTCGATTTTGGTTGCAAAATGAAATCATCTGGGGAAGCCCACCCAGACTAAGTAAATCAGAGTCTCTAGGGGTGGGGCCAAGCAATCCACATTAGTTTCTAAAAGCTTCCCCAGTGATTCTAATATGCAGCCAAGACTGTGAACCACTGATTACAGCTGCAGGCAGACTCTTCCCAAACAGGAGGCCCACACTAGTCATCTGCAACACAGGTGTCACAGTGTCACAGTGAGGGTGATCACAGGGTAGTTCAGAGTACTTGCTAAGGCCGAATGTTTTTAATTTAAGGTTCATTCTTTATTGAGAAATTACAGGTGTTTTTTTGGTGCTGGTTGTTATTGTTGCTAAAAAGTCCTTTCATAGATTAGATAGATAGATAGATAGATAGATAGATAGATAGATAGATAGATAGATGATAGATGACAGTCCTTTCTTTTATGAAATGGAGATGAACGGCTGGTAGTTGACTGTTGTAAGTCTTAAGCAACATAAAAATTGGCAACTCTGTCACCAGTTTTTGAAATGTTAGTGGTCTGTGAAATCCCACAATTTGGAAACACTGGCCTGGAGGGCTTCCAAGGTCCTCTTTTCTGATCTGAAATTTCCACTACTCTGGGTTTTCAAAGCTGAGAGGTTAAATCCTTGACTCAAGCCTTCCTGAGACCTCTCCTGTCTTGTCCTTTCTCCCAGAAACAGGAAATCTTGGAAAAGGGATGTGTGCACTGAGGTCAATTGTTGTTATTATTATTATTAGACAATGTTACAACTTCAAGAAAGAAGAACTAATCTATTTACCGTTCCTCCACTCCAACATGACTATTTACTTTCTCAGTGGTTCTTTCAGATCCCCTGGAAATTATTTTGCTGAAAAGAATATACACTATTTCTAAAATAAAACCCCTGTGGCCTGACAGCTCACGTGGGTCTTTATTCCATGCCTCTAGTCGCTCTAGATTTCAGACCAGGTGACAAGAAGGTGACCAAGTGCACAGAGACTGAGACAGGCTCACATGCAGCTCCTGAGTGCAATCATGGAGAGCTGCAAAGGTACATTCCTATGGGCCGGGAGGAACTGTCACCAGCATCCAGTTGGCTTCTGGCCTGTGGTGACCTTTGCAGGGCTGGGAGCTGCTACGCACTCTTGCTGGCTAACAGGCCAGAGGATTAAAGCTATATGCCAGAGCAGATGGAGCTAGGGACTCGGGGCACAGGACAGCTTGTTCCAGGCACCAGGAGGTGTCGGAGATGTCAGAGATGACCAGGGCCTAATGAGACGAAAGGGCTCACCCTTCATCAGACTGGCTAGGCCAGATGGAATCAGATTCCTCGCGATGTTCACTGGGTGGCTTATCCAATCTCTGGCTCTACTATTGACAAACTGAAACTTCAGGCAAGTCCCTTTCCCTCTCTAAGCCCCAGGCATTCAGAAATAAAATTCTACTTGAAGAATCCAGTCCCATCAGGAGAGGATTTAGGGACTTCAAGGTCAAGGTGATGTTCCCTTTCTTAAACTAGGGGTTAGGTGCATGGGAATTTATTGTATTGTTATTCTTTATCATTTATAGGTATTTTTAAAATCAATATCCTTTTATCGTTATACAATAGTTAATAAAAACAAAATAAAACACACAAAATCCAGCCCTTTGGTAACTGGCTGTTTTGGCTGGACCGCTGCAGGCTGGCACCGGCTCTGCCAGCAGGCTGTTCCCTAACACTACAATTGTGTGCCTGTATGACTCATCCTGGCCCCAGGCACCAGAGTCCCAGTGTCCGGGGCCCATACTCAGGGAAGGGCCCATGTGCCTCTTCTCCCCACTGAGCAGGACAGGAAAACAAAAAGGGGAATGTGTGAGCAGCATGTTAGCACTGGTAACTGATGTTTAAACTGAATTCTTAACCATATTAAAAATCTGAATATGTTCAACCTAGGCTTAACGACGTCTCAAAGCCTCCACTTATAGGTTCTCCGGACCAGGCTGAAGACACTCCTCGCTGGACGTCATGACTCACAGCTGTCATGCCCCAAACAGACTCTCCGAGCACAAGCATTCTCTGTGGAAGGAGCCGGGCACTGAGGGAGGCAGCCAAGGCCTCTGCAGGACCTTCCGACAATGAACTTGCCCAGCCAGCCAGCAACCACATCTATTAGATCACCCAGGTTTCCGGAAACTCCATCTTTATTTTTTTGTGCCTCATCACCCCAGAGGGCATAAAATAGCTTATGTCAAGTTTTGAAAAATATGTTTATTGCAATTATTCTGAATGACTCTGGCTACCAAGCCTGAAGCTCAATCATGGGACTATGCAGGAGAGCCCCCTGCATAATTATTACCGATGATGGTAACTACAGTGCTATTGACATTTATTCTTTCTCAGAGAAAACTTAAAACACGCGTGAAGATATTCTCCCCATTTGACAGATGAAAAAAATGAGAGGCTCAGAAAGGTTAAATGATTTGCCTACACACACGTGCTAGAAATGGGAAAGCCAGGATTCGGACTGGCTCCAGGCTGTGTTTAGTAATATTACCCCAGGGAGAGAGCTGCTTGTGCGGGATACATAGCTAAGGAAAAACTACTCTACTTTTGGGGGCAGAGGATCAACGTCCCTAAGACCCACCCTGTCACAAACTGGGGTATGTTCACATGTTTGGTGGCCTTGTGACTTGTCATTGGCCACTCTGCCTAGAGACCCCAAGCTGACTCTGGGCCCTCTCTCTGCCCTGGGTGATTCTTATCTGTGCAATGAGGATGTCACAGGCAGAAGATGCCACTTCCTCCTCCCAGTCAGGCTGGACTGGTCAGAGCCCCACCAGGCCGTCACCTGTGAGAGCAGCCCGGCTTGGCCCTCCCACTCAGCTGTTTACCTGCACTCAGAGGCCCATTCTTACAGGTAGGTTTCTTTCTGGCAGCAGGTCAGTTTCACTTCCTGGTTGCCACCCAGACAGCCCCAAAACAACAACAAAGACTCACTTCCCCTGACCTCCCGGGTTCATTCTTGACACCTTGCTGTGCACCCACTGTAGGCAAGGAAAGTTCAATAGCTCCCTTTCCAGGCTGGTTCGGAGAATCAAGTGGTGCCGGGCCACTGACACTGCCTCTTTATTAGGGAGGTTTCAAAAACCCATCCACAAACATCTGCCCAGTTGTTCTGTGTGTCAGGAGTGATCCTGGGTGCTGGAGACACAGAAGTGAGTCATGAGCCTGCCCTAAGGGAACCCACAAACACTGAAAAGAACCCACAGAGAGGGCTAAGAGCCCAACCGAGGGAAACACTGAGGGCCTAGGAAGCATAACTAGATCACGCTAGGCCATCTTCTGAGCAGGGCATGGTTAGAGCCTAAAGGGGTCTTCTCGGTAGGCGGCAAGTCTAGTGTTGCCCCACTGTCTTCTGTGGGCCTTCAGGTGCAGCTCTGGGAAATGGTTCAAAGCCTCAGGTCTAGCGTTGCACTGTCCAATCCGATAGCCACTAGCCATGTGTGGCTTCTTCAATTTAAATTAATTAAAATTAAAAATTCAGTTTCTTAGTCACATTAGTGGCTGTTCTATTAGGCTGTGCAGATAAAGGACATCTCCATCATCACAGAAAGTTCCACTGGACAGCACTGGTTAACAGCGCACAGATCTGGATTCCAATGCCAACCATTACACTTACCAGTCTTATGACCTTGAACAAGTGGCTTTATTTTTCTGTACCTTGGTTTTCTCATCTGCAACATGGGGATACTTTCCTCAAAGGTTGGTGTGAAAATAAAATAAGCCCATGCATGTAACACTCTTAGAACCCCAGAGGCCAGGTCCACAGTAAGTGCTCAATCCATGGCAGTTATTTTTATTTCCATCACTGGTCCGCAGCACCTAGGAGGCAGGTATTGTCTCCTGGTACTGCTAGTACAGCCGATGCTCAGCAAGTGCCTATCAATTCTTCTTCCCTGGCTGCCTCATCCAGGGGCCAGGCTGACACAATCTGCCACCAGGAGATTAGAGACGGGAGTACTCACATCTGTAGAGATGATTCCACACGGGGAAGAAGGCCATGTAGAGGGCAACGTCCCCCACTGTCGGGTAGGACTTGAAGATGGAGATGACGGCAATCTGGATGAACATGAAGAAGACAGGGTGCTCCCTGGGGCAGGGCAGACAAACAGACAAAGGTCAGTCAGGGGCCAGGCCCATCCCCGACACTCCTGACCCCATCCCTCAAACCCAAAAATACTCTCCCAGGGGCTTTAGGCAGGGGCTGGCTCTGCCACCCACAAGATACTGGGGGCCAGGCCAACTAGCAGAGCAGAAAACTGTGGGGACCCAGAGATGCCCAGCAGGAATGAGAAGGGCACAGCAAACACTAGAGAAACAACCCACAGAGACATTTCCAATCAACCTCCCCTCAACCAGCTCCAAGCCTTCCCCCAGGAGCCTCTGAGGGAAAAAACAAATGAAGTCAGCATTCTTTATTACTGGGCTTAAATGACTGCTTGTCATAGTGTAATTAGGCAGCCTCCCTTGCCAGCGGCCCCTGTGACAACTGGACCCAGGGCAGTAAGTGCTTCCTTGCTGATGCTTTTTGTTCTGACAACAGGGACTGTGGGGTCTACAGACCCTTAGCTACGATGAGCTCCCCTCCAGAAAGAGAACTGAAAGCTGTGCAGCTTTTCAGCTCTTAAGGGCTGGAATTGGAGTTCTTACTTAAACTAATGACAAAATGGCTACCACTTCCTGAATGCTTGTTCTGTTAAGTTCTGTGCTAGGCCCTTTTCCTGCATCATTGCATGTGATCCTCACTACAGCTCAACTACCCCTTGAGGCAGGCAATGCTGTCACCCGCACTTTACAGATGAGGTTCAGAGAAGGTAAGGGAGTTAATAAGCGACAGAGTTGTTTGTCTTCAGACCTGCTAAGCACCACCAAGATTGTTCTCCTGGGTGCCCAGCATGATGACAGCTCTGATCAGGGAGGGTGGGGACAGAGCTCAATCTCCAGCGCTCCTCCGAGAGCTGACCACGTGCAAAAGGGAAGCCAACAGGAAGAGGCCAGATCTACGCCCTCCTCAGCTCCACGTAAACAACATGCACATGGCCTGCTTTGCACAGTTCCTGGATGCCCAACTCATGGCGGGTTTCTTCAGAGGTTCATGGCATTCTTGTCTTGCCGGTCAAAGGTCAAGGTGACTCAATGGGTATAAATCTGAGATGGGAAGACAAACAGGTACACACCCAAGCACTCTAGCCCTTCTATACAGCAAATGCCTCAAAGCTCAGCTGGGCAAAGTCACGCAGTCCTGTAGCTTCTAAGAAGGGTCCAGCTAGCTCAGTGAGCACCTTCCTAAAGACAATCCAAATCACTGGCTTTGGGCTTTTCTGTCGCTGCTAATAGCTGCAACATTTCTATGAAAAGGCCAGTTAACAAGTAGTGCCAAAAATCCTGGATACCAGAACCTGCAACGCTGCCTGGGGAAAGGTGGCCTGAAGGGTCCTGTTCTCACAAAGCTGGCACTGGAAGCAAACACTGCAGGGAGCTGGAGAGTTAGCGGAGCTTCATATCCAGGCACAGGAGGGCAGCAGTCGGGGAGGTCAGATATCTTCATATCCTCTGCCCCCATAACTCTGAGGCCCTGGCCTGGTGGTGGTGGTGGTGGTGATGTGTGTGTGTGTGTGTGTGTGTGTGTGTGTGTGTGTGTGTGG